CCAAGACCACCAGCCAAAGTCGTACGCGCCGGTGTCAGAGCCTCACACGCCGCCCAAGCACGGACATGCCCAGCCCACGCAGGGAGACCCGGACAGAAAGGATCGACCCGAGCACGACCAGCTACTTCATCGCGCGACCCGCAACGTGCCCTTGCGCCTCGCGCGAGATCCTCAGCGCCCCCACGCAAGTTTCTAGCGTGACCAGCGTCCTCGGCAACAACAGTGCCCGCGCGCACGACTACGGCCCCAGCGAGTTATACCTCGACACCAGCGAGCCCAGTCTAGCCCAGACACGAGCAGACCCTGCCCAACCTTCCTTGCTCAATCTAGAAGTCCCGATTCGAGCCCCCCAACGAGTCTCGAATGGTCCAACTAACCAACCGAAGGTTCGAGACCGTCGACGAGCCTAACGAGCAACCGGATATGTGATGATAAGGCTAAGTCCCTCTGCCCAATAGTCTCTGAAATCCAGACAATCTCCAACAGCAGATATCAAAAACATCCCAGAGTCGGTAAAATTTTAAACCGTAAGTCTTAATCCTAAATATAGATTCTACTGCGTTAAGATTTATTTTTAATAGATTTGAATGTGTACATCGACGACGTTCCTCATATAACTCAATAATTGGGGTCATCGTCCATGCGCGTCGAGATCGCCGAGAGTTGTCGCAAGTGTGCGCCTTGCATCGTTACGTGTGTGTGGTTCGTAGTGTGTCGTTGCGTGTGCATTGGTTGCCACTAGCATCTTCCACGTCCGACTGCGTGCACATATGTGCGTGTCCCGATTGCGTCTATTGGAGAAGGCTACGGCTGGAATCACGTGGTGCTACGATGCGATGCGCGCGGAAGCGTGCGTCGCACTGAGCTGCGAACGTTTACGATGAGCTATGTGCGCGGGGCTATGTCTTCTAGCGTAATGCGGTCGCTGTGGGCGTGCGTTGGGCACTCCAATGTGGCGGCGGTGACAGTGCTCAGGCTGTCGGCGGTGGTCGGTTCGGTGAGCTTGGTTGTCGTCGTTGATCCTTCTCTCCAAGTTTGGTGGTGATCAAACAATCTCTGTAGATAAATATATTCGTCGGGATACGAAAAATGATACCTTACGATCTTCAGTCAAATGACCCTTATACCTACTCTGAGTAGTCTTGGTGACGCGACTAAACGGACCTCCCAATCCTCTCAAGACTCATGAAAATTCTCTAAAAAAACGAGACCTTATGCGTGTGGAAATGATGAGGGGAGGCTTGGGACTTGGTGTATTCATAGGCTACAACAAAAACATTAAAGATGTACTAAATATGGGCTCCCAAATATGAACACTCATAATGGGCCTGACCCAAATTTACATTCACACTTTAATAATAGAACATTCCACTAGAGCAAACTCAAATTTAAGTTCACACTTGAATAATAACATTTCACGATAATAATATTATTGCACTCCCGATTTAGCTCTGAATTACAAATAATTGATTTCTCGACTTAATTACTCGATTTACCTCTCGATGTTTAAGATCTAACATCCATTGATTAATCTAATTACTGACAATATAATTAATCAACCTTTAAATCCAACAGTAGTACCACTCAATTCTATATTATTACGTCAGAAACTAATTCGTCTACAGGACTTAACATAATAATCATTCATGAGCTTATTTCGAAGACGTCATCAACCAGACGGACCAAGACACAGTGGCCTTAAAGAATCTTAACGGCACATCATGTAAACAACATCACTTACCCTAATATCGGGTATGTCAACCTAACAGAATAGATATCATCCTTGGTAAATCTAATAAGTAAGTGTTGAATAAGTATGCTCGTTTATTGTCTCACGAGTTAAGAGAACGCTACTATAATTGAGGTCCATATTATTTACTTGGTCACTATAAAATAAGTTTTCTCCCCATGTAGTTACGTTCAATATATTCTAGATGTATCTAGTGTAATTCGTTACTCTAAAATCAACTAACTAGAATATCACACTACAGCCTTTCTGAAAGTTAATTCAATTTTATCTAGGTTGTGAACAAGTATTTATATTTTACAAGGCACCAATAATATGATCTTTATGTTCGACATCTAACCATATCACCTACAACGTAAAATAAAGGATTAATGCTTGCATAAATAAATAAATTGCAAACACACACTTGACTAAAACACGAATCTAATTAAAATGGTATCGTCAGAAATTGAAAGCCGAGCTTTTATAGTATACCTTAACAGATTAACACAAGGCTACTCAAATATATATAACATCAATTAAAATATTTTTTACTAGTATATTTAGCAATGTCGAAAAATTAAGACCCACTCGGAACCCACCCCAACATTTGTGGTGGCTTCGCCTCTGAATCCATATGTCTATTATTAATTTAATACAAAACATGATTATTTATTCAAATGTCCATTTAGTAATATATATAATGTAAAAATTATTGTAATGTACTCAACACACACACACACACACACACACATAGAGGTAGTTGTTTCATGTTTGGATGGTGTCACATACTCACAAGTCACATCTAACGGGTCATTTGATGGCATGCTTTTCGAGCCAAAATAAACATCAAGAAACTTCACTCAAAGTGTGAAAATTTCTGATTGTGGCATGTTAAAAAAAAACTCAGGAACTCATGGCCTTGGTATATGTGCATGAAAAGGGATCTTTAATTTGAGGATTATTAATTAGAAACAATATATTGCAAAGAGGGGACCATTTTACACAGTCTTTCATGGCTTTAGTTTTGTTTGTAAGCACTGCATTGCAAGATTCACTTCAAAGGGGATAAAAAAAAAAAAAAAAAAAAACATTGTAAGAGCATCTCATCACCCCCAAAATACCAATATGAATGCATTTTGTGGCAACTTTTATCTCTTTCAATTCAAATGGCATTGTCCTTTGCAAATCTTGGAAAATCAGTCACCAAAACATCAATATCCTTTTTCATTGAGGGCAACTAGTCATGAATCATGGAACCCTATTTAGAAAAATTTGTGCCTACTTGTGATATAGTTTTTTTTGTATGTGAAAGTGTGTAATCTTGTTCATATAATTCAATTATTCCATTAATTGTAATTAAGTATTTCGTAATTATGTCGATATGAATCAGTAATGTTGTTGTTAAGCTGTCTAATAATTAGGTAGCCATTTTTGACAAATTAATATATTTTCATACTCAAACGTCACACTTTAAAACACCGCGTAAAACAAAAAAAATTGATATTTGATTATAGTATGTTTCTTAATTTGTTAATAACACTACAAAAAAAAGTGTCATATTCAAACGAAAAACCTACGGTAATATATTTCAATTAAAATTCTAATGGATATTCCAATAGTATAGCTTCTGTTGGAATGATTCGAACGAAAGCTCAAACAAATTATTCCGTTAGAATGAGTTTTTTCATTGGAATTTAGATGAAATTTGATCATTCCAACGGCTATTTTTTCAACGGATTTTTATCGTAGGAATTTTTGTTAGAATATGCAATTTTTGTTGGAATTTTTTTTTCACCCATATTTCAACAGTTAAAAATTGTACCATTAGAATCGTCAAAATACAACAAAAATTCTAATGGAAAACTCATTCCAAGAAAATATTTCTGTTGAAATCAATTGAAAAATTTCAACGAAAAGCTGGAGTTGCCGTAGGAATTCCATTGAAATATATTTTCGTTAAAATTTCATCATATCTTATAGTGGAAGGTATTATGCAGGCTACCACAATTTGTTTGTCTCTAATCGCTCGTAAGCACCTACCACTATATGTACCAAAAAAAGAATAATGAAATTTACTCGTCCAAATTTATGGCCCTATTGATGTTGACCATGAAATTGCATTTGCAGTTGTACTTCATAAA